ATTATTCATTTAATTTTTTTTTAATTGTTAACCTGATAAAAAATTTGTAATAATTGAATTATGATTTATATATTGAATCAATTAATATTAAAAACTAAAATTACATTTTCAGATAAAATTCATTTGATTTATTACAAATAAATTTGTTTTTCTATAATATATTAAATTATATCGCATTCTTTAATCAAATATTATAATATTATAAAAATAACAATTATGTAAGTTGTTAATTGGATTTCAATAATTGGATTCAATATCAATAAATTAAAAAATTTTGATATTTTTCATTTAAAATAATCATATTTATAACTTAATATTCTTAGTAAAATAAATATTATTATATATTAAATTATTAAAAATTCCTACATAAAAGGAAAAATTTTTAGAATTCATAATCAGAATTTATAAAAGATTTAAAAATTTTAAAATCACAATTCAAAATCAGAATTCAATGATTTAAACAATGTATCATACTAGCATAACAATGCGGATGATTATATGTATAGTAAAATATCTATTATAAGAAAGTAGAAAGATTGGTATTTATACAAAAAATTTTTCTAAAAGAAGTATATTCATATATGCGTATATATTTTTTAATCTTGTATTAATATCTAATTCTCAATCTCAAAATTATTCAATTTCCGATTTTAATAATATTCTGTTAAAAATATTCTAAATTTGACAAATTTATAATATACGTTTATATATTATTTATAATCTAAAAATCTATAAAATATTTTTCATATAAATATATAGATATTTAAAAGGTTGATATACAAAAATAATTAAGGCTTATTTATTAAATTATAAGAAATTAAAATTTACATTTGACAAAAATACTTTTATTAGAACGAGATTACTTCTGTTATATTTTATTATATTTTTATATTGCTGTTGTATTTTATTTCTGTCTCATTTCATTTAATGCAAATTTAAATTACTTATAATTTAATAAGTAAATCTAAATCGAAATTTTTATATATCTAAAAAATTTTTTTATATTTGTATTTATTTTGGCTTCTAAAATCAATTCTTATTCCGAAAATGTTCTATAGATATATTAATACCCTATAAATAAAAATAAAATATTCAAATAATTATTTTAATAATATGAAAAAAAAAATATTAATTTCTTACCGATCATAAGGAGTGCAACAGCAATATGATCGCGGCCAGAAGCTCTGAGGGCCCCTAGCAGGGCACCAGCACCCGCACATACTAGACCTACTACGCCGACACCCAGAATGGACCAGCGTACAGGAGGGGAACCAAGGCCACAACATTGCTTCGGTACTGCGTCCCTGCGAGACAAGAACCAACCATTGGAATGACTCACTAACACGTACTCCCGATAAGTTGGCAAGTCACTCAACATGCTTATCCAATACTATTCGACTTATACTAAACTACGGTCATGCAGCCAGCTATAGCCATGAAGCAAATATATTTCTTTACTATATTTTTATTACTATATGTATATAGTATATGTATATAATATATGATATATAATATACTATATGTATATAATATATAATAATATATATTATTATATATTACATGTAAGTATTTTGTGATTAAAAAAAATATAAATATAGATAATTATTTATAATATTTTAAAATTGATAACTATAGGTACATAATCTTTATATAACACATTAATGATTATAAAAAATTTGGAATTATATATATATATATATATGTATACAGAATATTAATATATTCGTAGGACATTTAGAAAGATTAATTTTAGAAATCAAATATAAAAGTGATTTATTCTATTTCTCTCTCATTTTGTCTATCGATTTCATTTTATCTAATATAAATTATTTTTATCTATCTTTATTTTAAAGCAATTATAAATCAAAAACGTATTTTGTGAATATAGTGATTAAAATTAAAAAAAGTAATCATTCTTGATTTTTTAATATTTTTTATCTTTACTTGATTTTTATGTAAGTATATTTAAAGAAAACTTATTGCTTGTATTGATATATATATATATATATATGTATATTCCCTATGTTATTTTTAGTTTCAATTTATTTATTTCAAAAATATATATATAAATTCATTTTCTTAACTTTTCAACAATATATACATATATAAAGCGTTAATACATTTGCTAATAATTTATTGAAAAAGTTAAGAAAGTGAATTTATATATTTATATATCTATAAATATATATTTTTATTTAATTCAAAAATTTTATCTCTAAATTCTATGTACCATTATTTTTTCTTGAATTTTATATTCAACTTATTGTTATTTATTCAAATATTTTTTTTATTTATTAGCAAATAAAATATTTATATTTAATATGTAATCAATATTGTGAGAATACAAGTTATATAAATTACTTGTCTTTCATAACTGATTATAAGTTTTTATTTCGTTTCCAATTTAAAAAATTAAAATAATAAAAATTACAAACAAAAAAATTACAGTAAAAGCAATAGATTGTAGTATTTAATTTTTTTTTAAAGTTAAAAGTTTTATAATTATTTATATTTTTTTTTTGAATTTTTCGTTAATAATTTATATGATTATTTTTCTTTTTATTTAAAACTTATCGGAAATCAAAAACTTTTAAAATTTCTCGAAATTATCCAATGCAAATAATAAATTGTCTGTAATGAAATTTTATATAAAATATTATGAATAATTTATGATAGGATATTATCGAAAAATCGATTCTAGATATATATACATATATAAATCGGTTGAGATTTGTTTATTAAGTTATAAATAATTTCAGTTCGCATTAGATGAAACAAAGTAGACATAGACAGTGCTGCAACAGTGATGCAATAAAAATAAAGTTATTTTATTTTTTTTTCATCTTCCTTTGTTTAACACAAATTTCAATAACTTATAATTTAATTAATAAATTTAATCGACATTTTTATCGACATTATATTCATTTTGGCTTTGATTATAATATTTGATATATAATATTTGATATTTGATTTTGTAATTTTCAATAGGCGTTCTTATTGATTTTAACTATGTATTTTAATTATATACTGCATTTTTAATTCGTTTTCCTCAAAATCAATAATTTTTAAAAAAAATCAATATTAAAAAAATTGCAATTTTTCAACTTTATTTTGTGTTTTTACGCAAATGATACTTATTTATTTTTAATATATACATATGAATTTTTTTAAATAAAATAATATAAATAATTATTAAATTATAAATATCTAAATATATTTAAATAAAAATCAAATTTAAAAGCTTATAACGTATCCATTCTTGTTGATATTTATCTAATTATTTTAAATTTATTTTAAAAATTAAAAATCTAAAATTTAACTATACAACATATTATGCAAGAAAGCAAAAATTTCTAATAAGAAAAACATCAAAAGAAGCTACAATATTATTTTTATTTTATATAGTAAATATTGAAATAATAATAAATAAATAAAAGTGAAATAATTTTGCAAAATACATAACAATCGCTTTGTTTTAAATTCTAATGCATTAATACTGCAAGCAGTATTGATGATCACCATCATCTAGTATTATTATTATTTGATTAATAACTATATATTTTACCAAACTATTTCTTTAATCTTGCAAATCAATATCATCAAAATTGATATCTGATTGTTCGCAATTTTTTATAAATGATATATTGTTATTATTTGTATCGATTAATACAAATTGATTGCGATATATAAATTCTCAAGTATGATATTTTGAATTATGTAGTTTTGAGTAGTCAAAAATCTTCAATCATTCCAAAATTTTGCATTTAATAATATTTTCTTTTATTTCACTGATATTATAATATATAATATTATAACTAATATATATAATATAATATATAATATAGGAAATAGTATACTAATAAAATTGAATAGAATAATATATGCAATATATACAATATATATACATTAAGAAAATGATAAAAGAGTACTATATTTTAGTAATAAAATGCTAAAAATAGAATTTAGTTATTTTTATTTTTTTCCGTATAATCATGCTTTTTTTACAAATGCGATCAAGTTTTAAATACCATCATAATATTAAAAAATATAACTTTTAACTTCTAAATAAATTCCATTATAGATTTTAGATTTCTATTTTATCATCATAGTTGAAAGACTGTATTATTAAATTATCGATTTTACTCTAACTTCTTCTATTGGTAATAAAAAAATAATTTTATACGATAAATTTATAATAATATTTTTTTTCACATTTTTGGTATTTTTCAAAGATAAAATATGATTTTGTATTATTAAATAAATTTTTTTTCCTGTATTTTCCTATATAATTTACTTGAAATAATTAAGATCCGAAAAGAAATAATTAAAAATGTATTTTTATATTTTACAAATTGGTTTATATAATTCATTTTTATATTTTGAACATTCATCTCTAATTAAATTTAATGTATCAATTATATCTAATAAATAATTAATAATTATTAATTTCAAAAAGTGAAAAAATATTTTAATGCAAAAAAACTAATGATAGAAATAAAAAAAATATAAAATTGATATTAATAAACAGAAATATGCCAAATAATCGAGATTCTAAGTAATCAAATATTTCATTTATTTTAATAATTATAATTTCTTTCTTAGAAATAAATTCTGTTTTAAGATTTGATTTTTCGAACTAAGGTTATCTAATTAGAAAAGGTTTTTTAATTAATTAGAAAAACGGATATATAATTTAAAATATATATGTAATTATATATATGTAATTTACAAATTGTACACATATTTTAGTTTTTTATTTTCTAAACTACTATCAATTAGTTTTGTTTTTTTTAATTTTCTTTTCATATTTTAACTGATTTAATATCTGTTTAAACATATTATTCGTTTTTGATAAAAATAATTTCAAATTTTTCAAACTTTTTTCCATTTTATGTTTAATAATATTTTTAATAATTTTTTACTAAAATAATATATAATATTATACAATTAGTATTATATAAAAGAAATTTGTATAAAGAATTTGTATAAATTTGTAAAAAAAATTTTGTATAAATTTTCTGAAAATATT